ACCAAGTACTGCAGCTCAAGTAGGGTAAGGCAATTATATTTTGCCTAAAATTTTATAAAATTGTCAGCATATATTTTACATTCAATAGAATACTGCCTTAAGTAATAAATCTTGTATATGTAGACGACCCATGCGTTCAAGTAAATCAAAAGCAATGGATCAAGTGAAGCAATGGTGCGGTTCAATGAAAGATGAAGATAATGACCGTATGTATAATTTTATAACATGATTTAAATTAGTTTTTATAATTTTTCTTAGAATTTTTATATTTATTATACGAACATAACAAAAATATCAAGATATGTACATTTGTTTAGTACTAGGAAAAAGGAGAATGGATTATTCCGAGAGCGATTCTGAGGATGGAGGCAGTAGCGCTGCTAAACGAGCGAAAGGCGACACAGGTAGTGATGAAGATTGGACTGGAGAGTCCGAGGAGGAAAAATTATTGGGTCGAAGCGATGTGATTCAACGCGCATTTAATCGTGCCAATGCTCAATCGAACGGGTCTAACAGAGCAAGTGGTTCGTCTTCAGATCTTGCGACTTCATTGGGACTTCAATCTCCCGAAGGAGCAAAATCTAACCAACCACCGGTTTTAGTCGCGAATGCCAAAGGAGTCGTTAAAGTTGATCCAAAGCAAATGCCAAACTTAACATCCGGCGTGTATGTAATGTCACGGAAAGATGGCATCATCAAGTTGGATTCGTCCCCTAGCGGAAAATTGGCTGTAAAAGGTTCGCCGACTACACAAGGTGTTTTGATGGTTCAAAATCGAGATAATACTAATGTAGTGAGGAAGCAAGTAATATCCGCATCGCAATCGAATTCTGTTACACCGGTAAAAGTGGTTTCTAAAATGGATGGAAGTCAAGTAGTAACCCAGATGAAAGTAGTTTCTAAACCTGTTACGAGTAAAGCAGGAGGTACACAGAAAACAGAGCCTATAAAGATCCAGCCGAAACCAGATCCGACACAGTTACCGCAGATACATGTCGTGACCGCGGTGCCGGCTCCCATAACTTTGCAACCAAGAATAAGTACAGGAATACGTCCTGGACCTGTTACAGGCCAACGCAGTGCGGACGGTCGTCCTTTGTTACCGAGACCTCCACTGCGTGCGACGACACCAACTAGCGTACTTGGAATTGGATCAACAATTCGCACACCTGTTAGGGCACCAGCCCCGAGACAAGTTCAGTCCCAGCAAACGCGTCAGGTGCTACAAAAACGTACAACAGCTGTAACTACGCAAAGTAACTCGGTGAGTCCTGGAAATGTTACTCAGATTAGACCGAAGTTTACGGTGCTTAGTCCACAGCCAAAGCAAGTGGTAAAGTCTGGAACTAGTCCAGTGCAACAGGCTAAACAGTCGCCGAAAACACCAGTTGGTAAGCCACAGTCATTATTATCTCCGCAGCAAAAATTATTAATGGCAAAAAGGAAAGCTCAAGAAGCAGCGGGTATCGTTAAACCAGGTGGCCGCGGCCTCCTAGCAGCTGCTCGTACTACTGCCGGCCGAGGTAGAGGGAAATTGGCTGAAACACCAGCGACCACTCCAGGAAATAAACTGAAAGAAAGTAAATTGGCGGAGGGTGATGGACTTCACATGGAATTCCACGAAGTAGGCTCCGAAGAAAGTAGCAGCGAGGGTGAACCAGAACTTCCACCTCCCGAAGCCGATACCATTGCTACTACGGAACCTGACAGTCCTCCTAGGCCGTTCACTCTCTGTCCATTGACGGGACGCATTATTGGACCGGATGGTGAACCCGTTGAACAACCAGCCGAACCAGAGCCTGAACCTGAACCTACTGGAGCACCATTGTCTACTATCAAAACAAACACAACTACATCAGAGAGTATAGACGTCACCGCTACAACTACCACCACGGAATTAGTTCTACCTTCCCTTGATTCTCTTACAGAAGGTGGTGGAATAATGAGAGTCGAAATGAGTCCCGGTGGAACAACAGGTACAATTGTTCAAACCAGTGAATCAGCGCAGATCAATTTGACAAATGTATCCGTTCCTGCACCGGATCTTCCTTGCTTGGATGATACAGCTCCTGTCACTACGCCAACTACAACCACAGCAACACCATTGACAGAAGCAACCTCAGCCAGTGAATCCTCTATCACAGCGGGATTAACTACAGCTACAGTTACCTCGACTAGCACAATAGCAATAGCTTCTACTGATGTAACTAAAGCTGAAGAGAAAATATCGGAAGAAAGGAAGGTAGCTGAGGATACATCGAATTTAGTAACAATAACCGGGGAGGATGGTGTTGTTTACCAAGTGGCTGGCCAAGCTGAAGATGGTCAAACGTTATTGGTGACTCGAGACGCTGACGGCGAACAACAATGCGTATATGTTACCACGGAACAACAAGGAGATGATGGATCCGTATTAACGTTGGACCATGCTGTAGCAGAAGCTGTAGCTCAATTAATACCTGATCAAGTAAACCTGGCTTCGCAGTTCTATGTGAAGGAAGGTGGAGCGGAACCTACCGAAAACCCAATGGTAATGTCTATTATGGACAACACAAATACAGCAGATGTGGCAGAGGGACAGGAAGACGGTGATGGTCATGGCCAAGTTGTAGCTCAAGTCGTACAAGCAGAAGAACCTACTCCAGGTAAATATATCAAATTTTAATTATTCATTTTATTAAAATTTAAATGAATATATTAAAAAAAAAAAAGATTGATATAGTAAAAAAAAAAAAAAAAAAAAATTGAATATTAATATTAAAATTTCATTGTATTATTATATTAGGTGGTACCAGAAGAGTAGTTTTACTCTTACCCGATGGAAACCTGATGATGACGGAAGTAACGGAAGAACAATATGCTGCACTTGGACTCGGCAAGTGAAGAGACATTTAATATTAATATCATGCGGAATGAATAAACGATGATGCATCGAACTATACATTTTACAATGGAAGTTGTACGCTTAAGGGGTGATCGTGGGTTGTATATATGTAAGAACGTTCACTTCGTACAGTTGCGATGGACAAAATTATTTACAATTTTTCCAGCTAAAATAGGTACAATGAGAAAAAGAAAGAAATAAACACATAGCTGGTGTACTGTAAAAAAAAAAGAAAAAAGAAAAAAAGAAAAAAATAACAGGATCGAAAATACAGAAATCTAGAATTTAGATTAATGGATAAATAATTATGTTTTAGAAATTCATGTTTCAGTGTCCTAAATCCGCCGGAATTTTAATTTTTATTTGTTTAATTTATAAATGCGAAGAAAGAAAAAACGAAAAAATGCGAAAGGAAACATATTGCATCTTCAATAAAAACAATACCATTATACGTTTGAACTAAGCATTGTATTTGTAGGATAGTGAAGTATAATATCTGGGGTTTTATATTTTCCACACAATACAATAACAGGCTTTTAATAAAGACCTTTATTCCCCGCATACAAAGTCCAAGCTTATATAGCGCAATATATTTAATCAAGTTCTAGAAGCGTCGTGAGGAGTGTACCAGTTATCAAAAAAAAAAAAAAAAAAAAAANAAAAAAAAAAAAACAAATTGGCACTTAAGAGTGTAAATATTATTATTAAAAAAAAAAAATAAATAAAAAAAAAAGAGGAAGAAAAAAGTCGAAAATTAAATTACTCCTATCGCGATGAGTTTTTAAAGCTTGAACCTAGTTTGACTCTGTTCTAATATCTTCGTAAATGATTAACATAAATCTAATAATTTCCTTTGATTTATAGTTCAAGTAATGTTGAAGATTAATACAAATTTAATAAACTTGATATTATAAATTAACTTACGCGACCACAAGAAAATATTTCTTTTTGTCTTATTCTTTCTCTTTTTAAAAATTTTCTTTTTGCGTTTCATGGACTGTATGCTTATTCTTGATAGATTAAAATAAGTGCACTCTTATAAAAAGAATAAACACATAACTTTTAAACCTATAAAGCTTTGACGAGAAAGAAAAAAAAAAAAAAAGAACGAAAAATACAGTGTTGTTTAATGGAACATCACGCGCGTCTCATTATTATCAAGCTCCCATTCCTTTCCAGGTTGCTCGATAGTTATACATACAATTAATCGAAGATTTATTTTCTACAATGCTTATAATACAATGACCGCTTTTATGAAACATATACTTTTGAGAAAGAAAGGTGTATTAATTTTTTATATGTTAAGACGAAGAGATTTATGTAAAAATTGATGGATTTATTGTACACGCGATATAATACGTTGTAGACATGACAACATTAAGAATCTGTGAGATCTTTTTCGCTTGTTTGTATTATTAGATTGTACAAAGCGTAATCTATAATGTCATAAGTACACGTGGAAGAAACGAAAAAAAAAAAACATTTTAGAAAAAATGCATATAATATTTATGCGTATTAAACAAACAATTATACATACATGTATATGTATATGAAATTTAAAATGAAAAAACATGAATTCTTTATATTCATGAATTACGGATAATAAATATAAATAAGTGTACCTTATTGTGATTAAATCGCAGGCACGTTAAGCGAAATCGGACATTTTCGTGGATTTTAATATCTAATATAGGGTTAAACTAGATTCAAGCGTTTAATTATAAGCAGTCTAAGACTCGCAATAAAATAAAAAAGAAAAAACTGCACGAAACAAGAACTATTATTAATTATATCTCAGTATAAAAAGAAACTATTTTGCACGAAGTATGGCCAGGAATATAAAATCCTAGTATTTTACTAATGTAATCCTTTTGTACATAGAACTTCATTCTCTAAACCTTTATATAAAAAAAATTGTTTCCAAATAAATCATAGTCTTAAAATTAATCTATGTATTTTTTCTTAATTATTCATTACTAAGTTTTGATTATTTATTTCTTAATCACAATGTATATATTTTCTTACGTTTTGTTTGAAACGAAATAGCATGCAATGCTATTGTGATTTCATTTGTTAATGATAATAAAAATTTCGTTTACAAATTTTTTTTCAGGAAATGAATCCTGAAAATTTTATCAACATGGATAATAATAATATGGACAAAAATAAATATGCACAATTTATTCAAAGAAGACTTCAAAGTTTACAATCCAGGAATCATGATTGGAAAATGTCGTACAGCTTCGTTAAAACTGCTCAAAAAAATATAGTTCTACAACATAAATCAAATATTTTACTCTATGTTAGTATCTTGATATTTTTAAGAAATCAAAGTATTACACAAAAATATTGAAATAAGAACAAGAATTATTTTTATAGTCTTATAAAAGTAAATTAAAAGATGCTTGTCCAGTTCAAATACAAGCATTAAAACAACACATTCAAAAGGACTTGGAGCCTAAATACGATGAACCAAAGTCTATCGACATTGATTTTGATGAAGAAGAAAAAGAAGAAGATCTAGGTTTAAAATTGAAGAAATATAACTATTTTGTAATTATATCTCTTTCTGAAATATAAATATTTTAGACGTTCATCCCAGCGAATTAACAGTAGAATTACCAAAATTAAAAACATGGGATATGTACAAACAATTGGTAGAAGAATCATCACGATTAAGACCAAAAATAAAATGTATTCCTGAACAACCAGTAATAGATGTCTCAAAATTATCAAAATTTTATTTCAAATACCAGTATATTCATCAAATATTTACTACTTTAAAAAAATCTTTAATTTTATAATTTTTTATTTTTAAAATCATAATTTTTAATTTTGCTCATCAGAATTAAAAAATATATTATATCACGAATAGTTGTGAAAAAACCCCAAAAAAGTATAATAAAATTAAAAAAAGAAAGAATTTTAGTGGCAAGCTCGAATTACATAGAATTTAAAAATTTCGAACTGAAGAAAGTATATAAGGTTGGTTTCGATTTTTTTTTTTTTTTTGCATTGCATATTTTAATAATTGATACTTTTTTTGTACGATAGAAAATAATTACGATAAAAAATATTGGTAATATGCCTGTGAGATATCATTTAAGAAAACAGCCATATCATTCTAAATTTTGGATTATGATAAAACCTGTGGTCGAAAATAAAAATATCATTCCACCGGGATTGACAATACAGTTGATCATTTTCTTCCGTTGTGATGAAATCGATATACCAGATGAGATATTGATAATAAAGGTTCAACACGGAAGTCCAGTGATCATTCGAATGCATGCATACAAAGATCCTCCTCATTTAATCGGTATAAAATTTTATTTATAAAAAAATAATGAAATAAGAAAGTGAAATGTAAAAATAGAAATATGTTTTACTGTTTTATTAAATAAAATTTCTTTTTTTTTTTAATAGGAATTTGTCAATCAGATGAAATACCTTTTAAATATTCGAATATAAAATTAAGTCAAGATTGGCAACCAGAGATAGAAATGTCATTCGATAGTTTAAATACATTTTCTGTATGATACATAATAATTATGATATACATAATAATACGATTATTCTAATCTTATAATTGATATTTGATTTCTTATGGTTTCAATTGGCAATGGTTATTCTATTAAATATAATAAAAACTTAGTATTAATACTTTTAGTATTTTTTTTTTTCTCTTTTTGATATTATTTTATCTTAATTTTTAACCATTTTTAGTATTTAAACAATTAATAAACAATTAAATATTTAAACAAGAAAAACATAAAAATTAAAAATACATAAAAAAATATAATTAAAATAAATGACCATAGGAAATTTTTTGTCGCCTATTCGAACAATAAAGAATTATCATGTCATGATTTTAATTTTTAGACTGAAAGTACTAAGACCATCTCTCTATTGACATTGACAAGTCGCGATAATTTCATAAGCATGATTTTCGATTGCAAAGGAGGTTTTATTGGAGAGGAAGTTTATGTACCTATAAAATTGAAAAATATCGGTGGAAATGGACGCTTTTTCATAATAAGTGAAATCGATTGGTTCTCCATGAACATTACGGTAAAATCATTTCCCTTTTTTAACTCGTTTAATAATATTTTATACATTTTCATACATTATATATTTTTTAACAGGACATCATAGAGAAAAATATTTTGAAATTACCATGTTTTACTATATGGCCAATATATTTTTTATTGAATAAAAATGAAGAAATGACTTTCCATATGAAATTTGCACCAAAATGCTTTGGCATTCATGTAAATTAAAAATAATTCGCAATCAGTATACATATACCACTTTTATATTATACTTATATAATGTATATTATAATATAATTATATTATATTAATTTCGTTCAATCCACTTTTTTTAATATTTATTTTAACAGGTGGAAAAAATATACATATTATGCAATAATTGTACCCTACTTACAACAGAAATAATCGGAGATGGATTATTATATGAACCAAATTTCATCCAATTTAGTAAAGTATCTATAAATTTAATTAAAAATTCTTTATATTCTTACATATAACTATATTAACGATAATCATGATATTAAACATAAATTACAAAATTACATACAATATAAAGATGAAAAGATAAGAAAATAAATAAAATTGCAGCATTTGAAAAAAATAGAATCATCTAAAAGAGATATAGATAAAAAGTCGAAGTATTATATAAACTTAAGCACTGATACTCCTGATGGTGTTGGACAATGTATTATTCCCATAAATAATATTAGGTATAACATAATAATTTTTTTTATAAATTTAATAAAAAAAAAATTGTATTTTAATCTATTGATAAAATATAACAAATTTTAATTATTTCGCGCAGTGAGATAAGCATGTATTTTTCTTGGAAGAAACGAAATGTGCAAACAAAAAATCATAAAATAAACGAAGAGAATTATTTTCCATTACAACTTCTTCATATTGAACCAGATCATGGAATTTTTGCACCAACTTCTATTCATTATTTCACAGTAACTGCTGATTATACAAATTTACAGCCAAATTATTATTTTGCTGTTCTACAGTAAGTCTGTGATTAAAAAAAAAAATTGTCATAAATAATAATATGATTAACATAAAATCAATTTTAAATTGAAATTATTTTAGATTATATGTAGAAGATATACCGATCGAGGCGATTCCAAATGAAATAAAAGTAATAACTAAAAAATGCACTACGAAACGGCGAAAATGCAAGAAAGTAAATTATTTCACAATTTTTTTTGATCAATTTATATCGATTAATAAAATATTAACATTTTTTTTAAAAAATACTTGTCGTTAGTCTGTAGATATTTGGGTTGCCGATGTTGAAATTTGGTTGCAATTCATGATGGATGATAAAAATGAAATGTGCGTTGATTTTAATATTAATTTATAATCTTATAAGATTTTCATGGTATTAATTATACGTTTATATATATGTATATATAAGCCTTTTCGAAAAAAATATTCTAATGAAATAAACATAACAATATATAATTCGATCTCTAATTAAATTGCTGCAATATTTATCAAAAACCGTAATCATAGTCACTTTTTTTTTTTTATAATAATATACAGAAAAATCTGAAATATAATTACAAAAATTATATTTTAATTTAAAATTATATTTCAGTTATCAAGAAACTGAAGAAATATCAAAATATATCATAGTATCGGATTACAAATATTCTCAACGAGATTATGAAGAAGAAGAAGAAGAAGAAAAAGAAGAAAAAATAAGTGAAATAGAATTTAAAGAAGAATACAAATCAACATCTCAATTAGTAAGATTTTTATTAATTTTTCATTTATTTTTATCTTTATAAAATTACACGAATCTATATAATATTATAGATAAATGATGAATTATTTTCTCATTTCGATTTGATAAACCTAAAACAATTCGAACCATTATGGCAAGAAAAAATAATAAGCATGGGTATCATCAGACCTACAAGGCATGTATTTAAAATAAAATAAAATTTTAAAATACTTTATATTTATAAAAAATATATCATTTTATTAAAATTATTATTAAAATTATTATTATATTATATAACAGGACTTTGTACATCGGCATAGAAGAAACTTATGTTTTAGTATTAAGAAATCTCGCTAATAATCCCTTAAATTATTTATGGGGCGAAGTTAATGGTTTAGATTCAACAAAAATAAAACTTTGCGTATGTCCTGAAAAAGGAGAAATATTGGCTGGAAATATCCAAAAAATGGAGATAATTATTACGCCTATAAAAGAGGTTCGATATTTATTTAATTTTTTAAAAATATAATTTAATTTTTCTTTTTTAATTTTTAGGGGATCGTACAATCATTATTTATACCATGTTTTGTAGGAGATTTGCATAAAATAATAATGTTAGGAATTGAGTGTTTTATTGAACCGCTTTATGTGACGTTTTATTTTCCTTTAAACAACAAAATGTCATTAGAATTAAAAAATAATTTTGTTAAAATCGAATGGCGGACAGACAGTTTTAAATTCGCTTTTGATATGGCAGGAAAATCTAAAAAATATATGGTACGTTTAATTCAAATTTTATCGAAAATCATAATTTTTTGTGAAACTTTTTAAAATTAAAAAACCTATTTATTAATTTTATATTATTCAAAAAAAAAATCAAAAATTAAATTATTTTGTAAACTAACAATTAATATTTTAAATTATGAAAAAAAATTACATTATAAAAAAAATGAATAATTAATATTAATATATAATATTCTAGAAAATATTAAACAAGTATAAAAATCGAGAAGAACGAGAAATAATGAACATGGATTTAGATCAAGGAGAGATCCTTAAAGATGCTTCAACCGATCCTTTGATACAAGAAATGGTTGCTGAAGAATCAAGCGAATATTTTCCGAATACTTCTGAAATCAATAGTTTTCAAGTAATCAATAGTCTTTGACAATTCAAAAAAAAAAAAAAAATATTAAATGAATTATTATAATCTGTATATCAAATTTATATATTATAGACAAGTAATCAGAGAGTACAAATTGATAATAATTATTCACAAAATACAATTTCCTCTAGAAATATCATACCATTTCATCAAAGATATCTTCCATTAATTACACAACCTATTGTAATAGAATTTTTAAATTTACCATTAAGAACAGGTATTTTAAACTTTTATTTTATTTTAAGATAAAAAACATATTTTTCAAAATAATAAATTTCAAAAAAATAAATTTATATTTCCAATAAAAATAAATTATAATTATAATTTTCAGTGCAAAAGAAAACTTTTATAATAAAAAATGAGACTTCAATTCCAACTAATTTTTGGCTTAGTATTAAGAATTTTTATCCTATCAGATGTGCATGTGAATGGAAATCAAAAAAAAATCTAATTAAATCTATTTATAAGCGAGTGTTTGGTCAAAAAAAAGGATTAATAGGTAACATATCATTTATTTATGAAATAATCAAGTTAATTAAAGATATTATTTTCTTTTTTTATAGAAGAAACATTATATAAAGCGAAACAATCTGGATCAGGTATAGTAATTTATGTTGATCCTTTAAATTCAGATATTGGCCCTTTTAAAGCCATATCTGTGGATATTTATGTTTTCGCTGATACATGGGGTATTTATGTGGATGAATTAGAAATAAATATTATTGGTTTACCAAAATATACCATAGGAATATGTGTACAAGTTGTTGGATCACCAATTACATTATCAATTTCTGATAGAAATGAATTTAATATACCTGTCATCAAGTATGTTTCATTCAAATATATATTTCATCAATTTTGAAAAAATGCAAATTTTTTTCTCATTCTGAAAAATATATATTTGTAGATATGGAATTGAAGCTATAGGTATGCGTCTAAATGACAGAAAAATATTATTGACAAATACAAGTGTAATACCTATAGTTATTAATTGGCATACATTTTTAGTTAAACCAGTTATAAAAAAAATGCCTTTTAATATAGTATTTAGCATCCAGACTCCATTTACTGACAAATTAGCATCACAATTAAGATTAAATAATAAAAAAACTGAGAGTGAAATACACTTAGAAGAACATACAAATTTTTCTTTATCAAAGAATTTAAATACATGTGATTCTATTGAAATTAATGATATAATTGATTCTACAACATCTAGTTATATGTAAATATTCTTAATATCAGTATTTGTAATTATTAAAAGTATAAAATCATATTTTATTTTAGGGAATCCTCATTTATAACTTCGTCTGCAATATCTAATAATGAAATTTTAATAAATAAGTATTCCAAGTGTAAACATGATTGTAAAATTTGTTTCAAATGCAAGAACTCAAATATAAATGACATTGAATTAAAAATTTCAATACTTCCTTATTATGGTTTAACTAATACAAAAATTTGCAAAGTAAGAAGATATTTAAAAAAACATATTCTTGAATATGATAAAAAATTTTTATTTTTAATTTATTTTTAAAGGTTACTCCCAAAGAAATGTTCATTTCACCCAAAAGTAGTGTGTCTCTAACTATTAATGTACAACTTGATAAATATAAATATATCAAGGAAATGGATAAGTTTATTGAAGGAGAATTTTTTTGCAAAATTCTTGGATTTTTACGAATTTCACCAAGCGATATGTTTGTACAACTAGTTAATAATATAAATTAATATTAAAAATTTATAGTATCATAAGATATTTTCTTATAACAGGTATAGGGATAATTATTATGCTAGACAGATAGAAAAATATGTTTCTCCTATAGAAATTGATATCACTGCAAATATTACTAAACCTCGATTATACTTCAATATCTCAAAATTTGATAAAACATTTATATGTTGTGCCAATGAAGTAATGCAAAGTAAAACAAAACAAATAGAGTATGTACAAATATAAAATTACAGATATTTTTCTTTAAAAAAATATAGAAATTATATACTGGATTCTTTATCTAATATTTTTTTTAGATTAACAAAAAAATTATTATTATATAACAATAAAAATTACACAATAGAAATATTTTTGGAAACATGTGATCCATTTTATATTAAATGTATTGCAATATATACAGAATCATATCAATGTAAACTTGGAATTTTATGCATAAATCCAAATGAATATGTTGAAGTAATATTTTTATTTTTATCTTATTAAAAAATAAATTTTATATATTATGATACTTTTTTTTATAGATAAAAATAGTATGTATTGTACGAGAGAAATTAATTAAAACTATATTGAGCACAAATCAAGATTTTTATCACCCAAGAGTCACATTAAAAGAATCATTACACATTATATATTCTGATAAATATATAGAGGTATTAATTATCTTTCTTTTTTATTCTGCTTCAATTTAAATAATTGTACATTAAATTTATGTATTTTCAGAATATAGATTTAATTTTACAAATATGGTTTCCAATATTAAAATTATCATCATATACATTAGATTTTGGTCTTATTTACATAGGTGATACAAAAAAATTAACATTAACAATCAAAAATTTGTCAAGTATAATTAAATTTATTTTTTTCAATAATTATATTATAATATTTATTTTAATATATATATTTTAATTAAATCTAATTATTTAATTTTTTACAGTATGTAATGTAAATTTTAAAATAAATAAAAAGTTTAAAATCAATGATTTTATGATTGATCAAAAATGTGGAACATTATCAAATCGTTATAATCATGAAGATGGATATTTTACAATCACAGTATCTTTTCAACCAAAGTAACTTAATTAATTAAAAATATTTTATTATTCATTATATTAATCATTATATTCAATAACTATTGTATATACAGAAAACCAGGACAATTAGTTGAAACATTAGAAATATTAACAGATATCCCATATAATATAGAAGAATGTCAACTTTATGGAGAGGGTACATTAGATGAAAAATATCATACTCCAGGTGTATAAAAGGATAAATAATTATATTTCTACTTTAGATTGATTGATTGAAAATAATAAAGGTTTATAAAAAAAAATTAAAATATTATATAGTGTTATTAGTAAGGATTATACTCTTAAATTATAATATAAATATGCAAAATAGAATATAAATATTCATACCAATAACATAATTCCATGACGTTACATAAAACATAATACAACAGGAATTGAGACATTTTAACTCAACATATTAGCACTTGAAAATTTTAAACCGGTTTTTTATTAATTTAACGAATATTTACGATCGTATTACGAATAGAATTACGATTATTATAACAATTGATTAACACTATATAATTAATTCATTCACGAGAAAATAAAAAATAATATGAGCACAAACGTAACTTCATAACTATATAATCTTAGTCATTGATAAAATAGTTCGTTTTTCTATAATTATATTATTGGAATTTATAATTAAAAAAAAAATACAATTTCGCTCTCATGAGAGTGGGCCTTTCTATGATCAGTTCAGCATTTATTCACCGATACACTTTGGAATTTTTGATGACTTACTGTGTTCTCTTGGTATCGCCACCTACCGAACTAAATGCAAATCATTGAGAATTTTATTCGTCACGTGACTAGCTTAGCCAATCGGAGAATTTTGAGGGCCCTATACGTGGCATAAGGTATGAATCCTTTCCACGTCCGCCATTTTGACATACGGTACTTTTCGAGAGTGTTGGTTTTATGTTTTATCGTTTCTCGTGAAAATAATCTTTTTTACTGAAACGTAAGTAACGTAAGTGGCTTATACAGGCAACGTGACATTACGGGGAAGTCTCAATAATCAAACGACGTTTCTAAATAATGGAACTTTGAGCGGGGAACCTTTGACGATTTGCTGGGGAGTAGGTCGAAGGTGACAGACAACCGGGTGTACGCAGTGGCTTCGCAAACTGCACAATATCTTCCGCCTTGTTCGCAATACTTCGGTATTGGCGTTTTAGGTAGCCGATCACGTTTTAAAAGTGAATAGATCACCAGCAAAACACTCTAGAGTGATCCTTAACGGTATGCTAGTCTGATAATCATAGCGATGTATTAAAATGAGAATCAATAGCGGGCAGCATGAGCATCTCGTGCGTGCCTCTATATAATTTTTTTTCGTTCAGTTAAATTAAAATCTATGATTTAAATTGTTCTCTTTAGTTATATTTTTATTGTAAATTTTTCATAATTGTGCAGGTTAGCTTTTTGGGCTTAGTATCAGTGTATTAGTATTTTACGCATGTTTCTGCTCCAATTCTATCTACGTAATTTCAATTTTTTTTATGAAACAGGTCTTTCGTTCATTAATGTCATTTAAGATTATTTCATTTGTTCAATCAATTCGGCTATTTTTTTCGTTTTGTAAAAATTATTTCAAAATGACTTTAAATTCGATATATATTATTGCACATTGATTGTATATATTGTATTATTACATATGTCGGACATATATCTCTTCGAACTAATCATAAATTCAAGATAATTAATTTTTTAGTAGTCCATTTTTTAATTCAATTATAATTTTATAATATTTTTTATCTTTATGCTTTTACAAGTGATTTCGCTAGTGTTAATTATCTTTCAATAAAACTTTCATTCGTAAATATTTTATATTTTTAAATAAAAATATAAATATAGTTTATACATAATAAAAATAATATTATGTATAAAATTAATTTTATTTAATAGAATATCAACAAGAAATATAATAGTTTTTTAATAATTTTTTTTTTAATAATTTGGTTTAGCTGTTATTACTAACTTATATTTATTAATGAAATCTTAGTTTATTATTTTATTGTTTTAGGTATTTAAATAATCAGCATTAACCATGGGGAATATGTTTGCAACATTATTTAAAGGCCTTTTTGGCAAAAAAGAAATGAGGATTTTAATGGTAGGTCTTGATGCAGCGGGTAAAACCACAATTCTGTACAAATTAAAATTAGGGGAAATTGTTACAACAATTCCTACTATAGGTAAATATAGAAATTATACATATTTAAATATTAAAAATACATTGCAAATATATTTTTATTTTTAATATACATAGAAAAAGTTATTGTCTATTGGTATCATTATATACTTCATTAATTACATGTCATAAATTTTAGGTTTCAATGTAGAAACAGTTGAATACAAGAATATAAGTTTTACTGTATGGGACGTAGGTGGTCAAGATAAAATCAGACCTCTTTGGCGACATTATTTTCAAAATACACAAGTATGTAATTTCCTAATTATTTATCATAATATCAATTAAATTTTTTTTGTATAAATTAATATAATTATTTATGTAAACTTGAAAATTTATTTCTTGTTTATTTAAAACATATATTTCTGACAAAATTATTTTCATAGAATAAATTTATTTTCAGGGACTGATATTTGTTGTTGATAGTAATGATAGGGAACGTATTGGTGAAGCGCGTGAAGAATTGATGAGAATGTTGGCAGAAGATGAACTTAGAGATGCAGTACTTCTTATATTTGCTAACAAACAAGTAAGTTTCTAAAATGTTAATATATTTATAATTATCTCTTAGAGAAATTTATCTTATTTCATATTATATATAGTATATTAAAAATATACTATTTGTTACATTATGTGTCAATTATATAAAATTTATAACAAATAATATATAATATATATAACAAATAATATATAATAATATAAATTTAATAATAAAAAAGAAAGAAAAAACAATGTATAAAATTGAGACTAGTATTTATTAATTAATATTTTAGGATCTCCCAAATGCAATGAATGCGGCAGAAATTACTGATAAGTTGGGACTTCATTCTCTTCGCAATCGTAATTGGTACATTCAAGCAACGTGTGCTACAAGTGGAGATGGACTTTATGAGGGTCTTGATTGGCTCTCCAATCAGCTCAAAAATGCCAATCGCTAATTGGAACGTTATTTTGTCAACATTCAGTTGCTATATTAACATCATAAAATCAGCTGCACACCTATTCCCCCATGAATGAATAATAGTATAAAAAGAGGTAATACTAAGTGCAAACTGCGAGATCTTTTTGATCTTGAAGTGGAGGGTGAAGATTGTCGAAAGTTGTCATTGTGCCAGGAAGTTTTTTGGGGGGAGGGGAGTGGGGAAATCGGCCGGAAGCACACATTCGAACGGCCACACAAGACTATTGCCTTGTGCAACTTATTATTATAATTATTATTATATTAGCATTATAGTTACACTTTTTACACAGAGATACCACGAGAAGTGGAAAACTTGGAAGTAATTGTATTAAAGTACCTAACTCTGAAACATACAATACACATTGATTAATTAATTGATTAATTTAAATATCTTTGAAAAAACTTAAAGAACAAAAAAGTGAAATACCCATGGTGTTGTCAGTTTGAATACGTTGGACATACTGATTATCATAATGTAGCTGCATATTGTACATTACATTATATAAATATGATGATAAAAATGTGATCAATAGATGAGAGAATGTTGCTCTGTCCACTACATTATAAATGTCACATCGGCCCATCAGTTGACATAAAAAATGCAGTGAGTGGTAACTGACGGTGCAATGACTTACTGTTTCTAGTTACAAAAGTTTGTTTCTATTTTTTTAAGTTTTCAGTGGTATACGTCGATAAAAAAGTAAACAAAAAAAACAAAGCTATGCAAAATGGTTGTCTTACTGCTTATGATTATCAACAGGTGTTGTAATTGCACCCTCCTTCACCTGTTTAGAATAAAACTAACAGTCAGTCAACCATGTATATCTCAGTGTAAAAGAGATATCATTTATTTATTGCACCTTGATAAGGTAAAATTAGAATATTGTCAACATTCCGAAATTATGCATCGATCGTGGCGGGAAATGCAGATAAAAAAAAATTTGAATAAAAAGAAAATATGAAAGATGAAAATGCGGAATAAACTAAAAAAAAAACTAAAAAGGTTAGGAAAGAACCTCTCACAGCAAAGAGAGATAGGCCTCGCAATTTCTAAGCCAGCTATCCAAACTGGCATGGCAGTCTGCCAGATGAAGCCATTTTCGCAAAGCCCTTCAATCTCCTAATGTTTTCCTGTCCTTAAAAATACATTGTTTTTACGAAATAATCTTCCCCTAATTGATCAAATCGCCTTTCCGTCATATGCGAAGATTCGTATAATTATATATGAATGTTTAAACGATTTGTGAAATATACTGTAATTGTGCTTTATGTAGTCTATGTGTTATTTGCCGTTAAAATAGTTTGTTTTTGTTCTGGCTAGTTTATCAAATAGAATTTATAAAAAATTCTTCTTTTGGGATGTATGCATATTGTGCAGGAAATGACAAGGATAAAGGAATTTCTACACTAATGCGAGAACTGATTACATTATTATTATTATTATTATTATTATTATTATTATTATTATTATTATTATTATTACTATTATTATTATTATTATTATTATTATCATCATCATCATAATTTACATTAGACGAAAACAAACATCTCTATTTACAATCAGCCTGTATACATCAGATGATGGTATTTCAGTTATACAAGCACGATTATTTTTTTTTTTTAATTACTAAAGACTGCACACCGCCTATACCGCATGTTTCATTTAGTAATTTAAGTTCTTTTTATTTTTTTGGTCAGCTAATTATACATTAGGATAAATTATAAGTCCTAAATTTTCATAAAAATCAAATCCTAAATTTCCATTTTCATTTTTTTAGTAAAAAAAAATTAAGTAATTTCTTAGTAGTAATATACTTATGTATAACAGATTTTTTTTGAATTTTAATAACGTGTGTATATTTAACGATTAGAAATTTTAATGAGGATATTATTTGCTCTAACTCTGTCAGAACAAAAATAAAGAACATAATATTTGAAATATACGATTTTTTACCGATTCTACAGATCGACTCATCATTAAATAAGATATTCTTTTATCTTAAATCATTTTTCATTCATCTTCATTAGTAACCAAAT